AAAACACAAACAAAAGATTGTTATGATTTTTTTAAAGTTATGTACATCGTATTTTATTTATTTGGATTAGCGATTATAACTTTGTCTTCTACCTCCATATTCAAGGTTTTTTTTTTCCCTCCAGCACTTAAAAAATACTAAAAGTGAGTTCTGAGATTGACTTATTGAAGAACACTTTAAAAGTCTCGTTATTAGCACAAATTGGGAAATTTTAATAAAGATACTCTAATAATAGTGAAGTGATTGCAGATGTCAGAGCAAGAAATATAGATCCCAAGGATGTTAAGTTTTGTTGTCTTTCTTTCTTTTCTTTCTTTCTTTCTTTCTTTCTTTCTTTCTTTCTTTCTTTCTTTTTCTTCTTTCTTTCTTTCCTTTTCTTTCTTTCTTTCCTTCTTTTCTTTTTAAGTAATCTCTACCCCCAACATGGGGCTCAAACTCAGGACCCTGAGATCAAGAGTCACTTTCTCTTATTGGGTGTTGTATGTAAGCCAATTTGACAATAAATTATATTCAGAAAAGAAAAGAAAAAAGAAAAAACAGGTTAAAAAACAAAAGAGTCACTTCCTCTCAAATGAGCTAGCCAGGCGCCCCTCAGGGATGTTAAGTTTTTTCATTTCACTTCATATAGAAATGTTAGTGTCTTTACCAAAAAGGAATAAAAGACTAGTCCCCCTTTTGATCACATTCTTGTAACTACAAAAATGAAGACTTTAGGTGAGGGGGTTTTACTAAAAGTTAGTATAACATTTGGGGCACCTGGGTGGCTCAGTGGGTTAAGCGTCCGACTTTGGCTCGGGTCATGATCTCACAGTTCATGAGTTCAAGCCCCATGTCAGGCTCCGTGCTGACAGCTCAGAGCCTGGCATCTGCTTCCAATTCTGCGTCTCCCTCTTTCTCTGCCCCTCCCCTGCTCACTCTCTCTCTCTCTCAAAAATAAATGAACATTAAAAAAAAAAAAAGTTAGTATAACACTGGGATAAGCATGGTACCGGGTCTCATATGAGTCTTTTGACTCTACTACTTTACAAATATAGTCACAGGAATTGGCTTTCCACCTCCTTCTTAGAATTAAATTGATTAACTGATTTGCCAGTTTTACAAATGGCTAAAAGCATAATGAGTTTGGGGCAGTGAATGAGAGAAGTTTTGTGTGCTTTGGTAAAAGTGCAAAACAGTAGTTCCCAATTGAATACATTATTAGTCCATATGCTAGTTTACCAGGTAAGTAGTGAATGGGCTTGGGGTAGACAGAGGGGAGAGGCAGTGATTAGGGAGAGAATCCCCCAGTAATGGAGAAGGGGAGCAAGTAAGTCTGATGCTCACTGTTTGTGTAGGGTAGGCTCTCAGTAAATAACTGTGGAAGGAACGAAGGAGGGGAGGAAGGGAGGGAGGGAAGAAGGAAGTGAATTATTAAATGGTGAGTACAAAGAAAGTGGAATACATGCCTAATTCACAATGAAGCTTAAATTCTGCTTCACGACAGGGTTATAACATAGTATTTCCCTCTGCTATACCTGCCTCGGTGACATTTAAAGACGTATAATTTTCAGAAGTTACGAGACCCTTAAAAAAGGAAACATATAAAAATTAGATTTGGAGGAAATGGAAATCTATGCAAATCTAAATTTTTAGATTTTTCTGAAGATATTTTTACAAGTCTAAATTCAGTGCTACATTTGGAACATCATAATGGATTGAAATTGTTTTTTATTTTTAAGACAAATTACTGATAGGGCTACAAGCTGACATCAAATATCACTTGACTTTGGCCCGCTGAGGAGAAAAGTTAGCAAAAAGTTAGACAAGAAACCGTAAACACAGTAAAAACAAATGAAACCAGAAAGTTGTACACATTTTTCTAGACCCACTGCTTTTATAAGAAGTTTGTTTTCAGAAAATAATTCAAGGGATGGGGGGGAAAAAGGAGAAAAAAGTAAACCAAATTCATGCACTGCACCTTTTTTCCAGGCACCTACATTTTTGTCTAATGAGTGGATGCCCTTGTATTTGCCAGTTTCCCTGCTTTCTGGGCTCCCCCATCTCCAGGGGCCCTCCATCTGGACATACTTCCTGAAGCAGAACTTGCTGGGGATGCCGAGTCCCATTCCAGAGGAGTCTGATAAACTCCCTGCCTTAGCTCATGTTCTGGGAAGTGTGTCCTTTCTGATGGTGCTCCCAAGGAATGTGAGAGAGAAAAGAGGATGCATATGTGGATTTAGGGATGCTGAGTTCTGTTTTACATTTTAAATCTATAGCTCTTTCCTTCAATGAGTGGCAGGCCACTCTTAATGCCTGCTCCTCTGTACTGAAGAACTTAGCATTGCTTCCCCTGGTGATCCAAGGAACTTTGCTCTTTGCCCAAAATACCTCTCTCTCCCAAAGCAATTTCCCCTCCTCTGAGAAATGCTGTCGTGTCAGGCTGCACTGCCCTTGAACCAGACAACTTTCTCTGCTTGTCTTTATCTGTCTAAATAAAGCTAACCTACATTTGCTGTCTAATTCATTCGGATGCTTGCTGATGCTATTTAAAGCATCCCTTAAGGCTCCGTGGAAAACAAGATGCATTATCTCCAGTAGAGAACCTTTAGGTTTGTTGGTCATTTAAGGAATTCAAGAATCTAAAGAATCCATTCAGTCTTTAGTAGTTCAGAATTAAAGGACAAAGGAACTCTTCCGTGTGTTTTATTCCAGGCAGTCTTCCCTGACTTGCACGTTGCTGGGTTCAGCTGATAGAAAAAGAGGTAGCTAGAAAGTTAATCTCTCTCTCTCCACCCCCCTCACTGTGTGTGTGTGTGTGTGTGTGTGTGTGTGTGTGTGTGTGTGTCTAGGCTTCATGAAATCCAGCTTTTCTGAAGATTAATTTCACAACAGAATGTATTTTTCATCCTGGACTCTGATAATTGGTTAGCCCACTGTGAGTTAACCTTCTCCTCTCAGGGAGCAAATGTGAAAGATCAAAAGAAGCTGTCACCTTTGGAGCGCCTGGGTGGCTCAGTCAGGTGTCCGACTTTGGCTTCAGTCATGATCTTGTGACTCATGAGTATGAGCCCTGCATCGAGCTCTGTGCTGACAGCTCAGAGCCTGGAACCTGCTTCGGATTCTGTGTCTCCCTCCCTTTCTGCCCCTCCCCTGCTCACGCTCCATCTCTCTCTTCCCCCCTTCTCTCTCTCTCTCTCTCTCTCTCTCTCTCTCTCTCTCGGTCTCAAAAATAAATTAAAAAAAAAAAAGAGCTGTCATCTTAGTAAACAGGCTTTTGGTGAGTTTTTGGTTTGTCTCTACTTCCTGTTCTTCAGCCTCCATCTGACATTTCATTAGAGAATCCTGGTACTTTCACACTCCAGAAAAAAAAGGAAATTCTAAACAAGGAAACGAACAAAATACTGGTGTTGTAACTAGGACTCCACTGTGCACTTCTATACGACTGGGAGTTCAGAGAGGTTCCAAATCTGTTGCTTTTTTTTCAGACCTGATATTATGTCAGTCTGTTGGCTTGCTTAGTGGGAGAGAGAGCTGGTACAATGGGATGGTTTTAACCATTAGTGCCCCGCTGCTCCCTGGAGCACATGTTTTTCTCAGCATCCACTCGTTCAGCCACGATTCTGTGACGTCCATTGCAGAGAGTGAGTCAGAAGCCACAAGCTAACAGGTCTATTCCTTCCCACTGTCACCTAGGAAACCAACGCATCATCCACAGGAAATGCAGGCCCCAATGGGGGGTGTGCCCAGATCGGGTTATAAAGCTGGCAATGAGTTTTTCAGAAGAGGTCAAATAATAATGCGTAGAATCTCAGTCTAGCCTGGAAAGTGGATCCAGCCTCTGTGGCATGGATGGAGGACAGTCCTGCAGAAATACCAGGAGGAATTAATCAGCTAAAATCACGGAAGATGTCTGCTTTATAAGAAACTAACCAAGGGCAAGGGTTATGGAGACATGGTTTGATTTCCGCCCGTAGCACATACATTTATTCGCCCATTGAGTGGTTGGTTGAGTGGTTTTTTGTTTTGTTTTGTTTTGGGTTTTGGCACGTTTGGATGATGTGTGAAATGAGATGAGGAAATTGACAAAATATCAAACCAGGCTTTCTGCTGAGTGAAATGTGTATCCTCTTTTTCATGGTCATTGTCCCTTGGGTTAACAAAGTGATGGATGGAGTATTCCTTCAGAGAAAACCACACCCTGATTCCCCTCATGTTCTCACTGCTTGTTTTATTTTCTTCTTCTTCTTCCTTTTTTTTTTGCCTGTGCTTTTTTTTCCCTCCTTGACTACTATAGTTTGGCATAGGTCGTTGGCCTTAGTTGTATAGATACATCTTCCCACACGTTGTCCACATATTTGTGAATGGAAGCTGAGAAAAATTACCTGTACGGTTTCATGTTGTTCGATGAGTTTAATGTTTCCAGGCAAATTTATACTTTCATACTGCTATAGGTGAAGGATTCTACATAAAAAGGTATATACAGGGGCGCCCAGGTGGCTCAGTTGGTTAAGTATCCAACTTCAGCTCAGGTCATGATCTCACAGTGCGTGAGTTCGAGCCCTGCGTTGGGCTCTGTGCTGACAGCTCAGAGACTGGAGCCTGCTTTGGAGTCTGTGTCTCCCTCTCTCTCTGCCCCTCCCCCACTATCACTCTATCTCTGTCTCTCCCAAAAATAAATAAACATTAAAAATAATTTTTAAAAAAGGTACATACTATGTGAGCTCTCAGAACTTCCTATTTTAGACCCAAAGAGTATTAAGATGGGCAGGGGGATAAATAACTCAGAAATCATCTGCTCCAACCACCTCACTTTTCTCATGAGAAATTAGTCCTAGAGAAGAAGTGAAATGATTTGTCTAAGGTCATATAATAAATTATGGTGTAGGGGCACCTGGGTGGCTCAGTTGGTTGAGCGTCCGACTTCGGCTCAGGTCATGATCTTGCTGTCCGTGAGTTCGAGCCCCGCATCAGGCTCTGTGCTGACAGTTCAGAGCCTGGAGCCTGCTTCGGATTCTGTGGCTCTCTTCCAAGTGTTGTTCAAGGAACCAGGCCCTTCCATCTTGTAATTCTGCCATCTTCAGCATGTGGCTTATGAGGTTACTGTAGGTGTTGACATCCTGCTGACAGGGAAAGAACATAGAGGGTTGCGCGGAGAGATCCTTATAGGCTGGACCTAGAAGTGGTGCACCTAAGCTCTGCTCACATTTTTTCTATCCAGTCATATGGTCGCACCCAACAGCAAGGGAAGCTTCAAATGCAGTCCTGTGCTGAAGAAAAAGAGGAACAGGTTTGATGACTGACCCAGCAAAGCTTTTACCACAGTATCCAGCTCTAAGCTTCTATAATTACGGTGACAGAACTGACACAGGAATTTTAAAACGTTCTTGTGTAATGCCAATGTCATCATGTCTCTTGTTTACATTAAATATCTTCCTATTGAAGGTCTTCTGTTGAAGATATATTGTTTAGTTTAAAAAAGCAAAGTAGAGAACAATGTTTATAGTATGCTACTTTTGTGAATGAAAAGAGGAATTATAGTGATAATATTTATTTGTACCTGCTTGCATACATATGAAGAAACACTGGAAGAATACAAAGAAGCCATAGGGAGTAGGGTGGGGCCAGAGGGAGGATGGATTTATCACTGGGAGCAAGACTTGTCCACGCATGCCTTTAAATATTGTTACTAAAAAAAAATAAAATAAAATAAAATAAATATTGTTACTAATATTACTTAGTTAATTATAAAACTATGCAATTAAGAAAAACACTTCTGGGCACCTGTCTGGCTCAGTCAGTGGAGCATGTGACTTGATCTCAGAGTTGTGAGTTCCAGCCCCACAGTGGGCATGGAGCCTACTTAGAAAGAAAGAAAGAAAGAAAGAAAGAAAGAAAGAAAGAAACCATTTCTTTTTATTGGAGAAGAGTTTTTCACTGATGGATCTCTTTTTGTTTTCAAGTAAAGAAAGGCTTGAGGAAAGGACTATCTGGGAAGGTGAGCAGGGCATAACTGATGAGCCTAAAGTAACAGTAGTGATCAATATAGTGCCTTTCCTGTTATAATGCACCTATACTGGATTAATTAGATTTTTGAAAAGAAAGTAAAAGAATAATAATGCAACAACTTGGTTTTATGTAGAACCATCGAAAAGTCTCAGAGCACTTTTATATCTGACATCATTGTTTATTTTTTATAACATTCTTAATAACTATGGTACAAAAGATTTAAATTAATTTCTTGTTTTGTAAGGTACTGTCAGAGCCGAGAATAGAAGTTTAATTACCTACAAATTCATTTTAGACTTGTAGGCCAATAAATAATCTCAATTTCTGGGTAGCATCAACCCTAGAAGTATATGATAAAAATCCTTTTATGTTTTATAGCATTTTCACAAATAATTTCATATTTGGTCTCCTCATTGGCCATGTGAATTACTTGTGACTGGTATTATCTTTAGAGATGAAAAACAAAGGTGGCCACTATAAATAAAGTTAAAAGACTAATAAAAAATTGAGGGGAGAGGTATGCTTCCTTCATATACAAAGACCTATTACAAGTCAATAATTAAAAGGCAAATATTTCGATGGAAAAATTCACAAAAGACATGCATTAAAATCATAGAAAGAGGTCTTGATAACAACCAAATAAATAAAACATTTTAAAATACCCTCAAAAATGAGTGGGGATAAAATAGTATCTAGTACTGACAAAAGTACATGGAAAGAGGAACACTGATAAATTTCTGGAAGAGTTATCAGATGGCCAAACCTTTCTGAAGGCAAATTTGGAAATATATTAAAACTCTAAAGATGTTCATAACATTATGAGCCATTAACTTTATTCTGCTAATTTATCCCAGTGAAGTGTTCGGAAAAGCATAATAATTTATGCCAAGTTACATAAATATCAGCATTCTTATTAGTTCAGCAAAGGGTGGATCAAATGACATAATAAGGAAATGGAATATCAAGCTGCCATAGGAAATCATATTAAAGAATTAACTAAAGGCTAAAGGAAAATCCTACAACCCCGTGTGAAATAAAAAAAGCATGATTGAGAAAAAAATACAGAGACACATATATACACATTTTTTGCACCTTACAAACAGGTGAATTGTGAAAGACCATTAGTAAGACAACAATGGCTAAGAGTGACTTAAACTTAGAAAGACACACTTCCACCAAAAGGGAGTTCCATGGTCCTTCAAAGCTTCAAACCTAGGTAGCATTCTCCTCTCCTTGCTGATATCCATTCTACTGGGCTTCTTTATCCAAAACAGACCAGTTCATATACATTGAGAAATGGTCAAGGCAGCCCTTGGTAGGCTGCACCAAGTATGATAAAGAACTCTTCAGCAGCTTCCACAGGGAATTTAATGTTGTGTTGATCTAACAGATATTGAATCTATGAATTACTGGTGTTCAGCAAAGGTTTCAGAATGAGGATTTTACAACACCTGGCTTTTAAATGCTTATGACAGGTGCACCAAGGTGGCTCAGTTTGGTATGCATCTGGCTCGATTTTGGCTCATGTTATGATCTCTTGGTTCATAGGATCAAGCCCTGCATCAGGCTGACAGCACAGAGCCTCAAAATAAATTAATTAATTTTTTAAAAAGTGTTGTACATATTTTCAGGCCTTACCTGAATTAATATTTGGATTATAGTTGACCCTTAAATAATGGCTTTGAACCACTTACATAAAGCAGATTTTTTTGATAAATATAATATAGTACTGTAAATGTATTTTCTCTTATGATTTTCTTTTTCTTTCTTTTTTTTTTTGTTTTTGTTTTTGAGAGAGAGAGAGAGAGCATGCACACAAGCGGGGGCAGGGAGGGGGAGCAGAGGGAGAGGGAGAGAGAATCCCAAGCAGGCTTCAGTGCAGAGTCCAGTGTAAGGCTTGAACTCATGAACTGTGAGATCATGACCTGAACCAAACTCAAGAGTCGGATGCTTGGGGTGCCTGGGTGGCACAGTCGGTTAAGCATCTGACTTCAGCTCAGGTCATGATCTCACAGACCACGAGTTCAACCCCCACGTCGGGCTCTGTGCTGACAGCTTGGAGCTTGGAGCCTGGAGCCTGCTTCTGATTCTGTGTCTCCCTCTCTGTGACCCTCCCCCATTCATGCTCTGTCTCCCTCTGTCTCAAAAATAAACACTAAAAAAATAAAAAAAAAAAAAAAGAGTCGGATGCTTAACTGACTGAGCCACTCAGGCGCCCCTCCCCTTCTGATTTTCTTAATAACATTTTCCTTTCTTTAGCTTATTTTATTTGTAAGAATACAGTATATAATATGTAAAACATACAAAATATGTGTTAATTGACTGCATATGTTATCAGTAAGGCTTCCAGTCAACAGTAGGCTATTAGTAGTTACGTTTTGGGGAAGTCAAAGTTATACACAGATTTTTTTAGTGTGTGTGGGGGGGGCTGCACCCTTAACCCTGCATTGTTCAATAGTCAACTGTATAGGCACTAAAGTTGATGTCAGTTCTCTAATCTCACACTCCAGATTACTTCCATTTCTTGAATTACCTTTCCTCATTTCTTATTGATTACTGTTCATTGCATAGACCCTGCCAGGTTTTTTTCATGTTTTTAATCTCTCTTTGTCTTTCTGAATCACCTCTATTAACTAATGATGCATCTCTTACCCACATGCAACACTGGTGATTTTTCTTACCACATTCAATTTGTGACTATCTTTTATTTTCTTCAAAATCCTAAACCTCTCCTCAATAGCACATTCAACGTTCTCATTGCTTTTGCGATTATTAGACATACTGAGGTTAATAATGTTGTCAAGCACCCCAAATTAAATAGAGCAAACCTGCTGATGACAGAAAACGAGTTGACCAATGCTAAAACAGTGGTGTCCCAATTGTTGTTGCCATCTGCTGGGGGCAAGCAAAGTTGAAATACTTTTGCTTTTGGAGCAATTTAATTTTCATCTCCTTGAAAGTTCACAGGTGGGCAAAATGCCAAAGAACCCCTGTCTCTTCCACTGCCTTGGTGCTGTTCTGGTGAAGTGCATTTGTGACCATAGTCATCAAATCACATATAAATATGTAAATAACCAAGATTATTTTTAGAGAGCTTAGTTGGTATGCATCATCTTAATGAGGCTGAGGTTGTAGGGTTAATATCTGTGTGGGTTACTTAGCACATGGAGACAAACTGTGTCACCCAGATAGTCATACCTACAGCCAGCCATCTCACAAATGCATGCTCTTCAGGGGATCTACATACAGATCCTATGTCACTTGTGTGCATATCATTTCAATACAATTCACATAAGACAGTGCAGTTACCAACCTTCATAATAATATATGACCTTAGGGTCTTCAAACTCAGAACCTCAATTAGACATTAATAAGAGAGAAGGTGCCTTAGTCACATGTTCAGATTTTTAAAACATCTACCCATGAGCACAGGTTGCATCACAATGTTCTCCAAAAGTAAAATACTAAAGAAAGTGGGGGTGCCTGGGTGGCTCAGTTGGTTAAGCGTCCAACTTTGTCTCAGGTCATGATCTGATGGTTCGCGGGTTCAAGCCCCGCGTCGCACTCTGTGCTGACAGCCAGAGGCTGCAGCCTGCTTCAGAGTCTGTTGCTCTGTCTCTCAAAAATGAATGAAAACATTACAAATAATAATAATAATAAAGTCAGGGGCGCCTGGGTGGCACAGTCGGTTAAGCGTCCGACTTCAGCCAGGTCACGATCTCGCGGTCCGGGAGTTCGAGCCCCGCGTCAGGCTCTGGGCTGATGGCTCAGAGCCTGGAGCCTGTTTCCGATTCTGTGTCTCCCTCTCTCTGCCCCTCCCCCGTTCATGCTCTGTCTCTCTCTGTCGCAAAAATAAATAAACGTTGAAAAAAAAATTAAAAAAATAATAATAATAAAGTCAAAGGAGGCTTATTTTTCTAATTGAGAGCATTAGAAAAACAGAGGGTGACACATGATATACTTCTACTCCCCAGGGACCTGATGACAATGAATTCCTATTGAGTTCATATTCTGAGATTTCCCAAAGAGCAGGTCAGTGTCACTAGAGAATTTACATGTTTGTCAAAGCACAGAAGATTCACAACTTGGTTTCTGGCTTCAGGTGCAATTTTCTCCTTCTGTTTTCAGGATCCACTCTTCCTTCCAATGCCAGCGCTACAGGCAGTTCTCTAAATAACACCACGTCCCTGGCAGCCCAGCTCCCATTTGAACATTTCAGCAGAGCTCCTTTGAGGTCTGCCCTGCACCGCCTCCCATCTCC